GCCAATTTTTTATCTAGCTTATCTAAATATTTACTACTTCTATTTTCGGGAAGAGATGCATTATAGATTGAATCAAAAAAACTACTTAGCCTAAAATCCTTAGCTACTATTTCTCTTCGCAGCTGTTTAAAGCTATAGATAACTGGCTCCTGTATATTTTTCTCTCTATCATATAAAAGTTTCATCAAGATATTAATACAATCTACCCACGAAAGATTATCATCGCTTGCTGTTGGCTCGTCTTTCAAATTCCAAAGTGGTATAGCCATACACTGATTCCAGTACATTAAATAACACTGATATACCAGAGATCGTTCAAGAGCCCTTCGCTCAGCTTCGTTTTTTTTCTTCAAACAAGCTATTTCTTCAATTTCGTTAAAGAAGAAACTTAATTGATCATTTTTATCTTCGGCAATTAACTTAAGCTAAGAAAACGTAATAATAGGTAGATCGTTACCTATAACTTCTCTCTCAATAATAATATTAGTCAGTAATGAAATAGACTCAGACATAGAAAGATTAACATTACGATACCTTTTTAATCCTCTTGTCCATTCAGCTGCATGTTCTACGTATGCGCTTGCCCTATTTACTACGATCGTGTTATAACGGTTCAAGCACATATACTCATCCTTATGATCTTTGTAATACAAAGCCAAAGTTCCGTTAGCTTCTGCCTTAATTAACACGTTGTCAGTTATTTTTTTCTATTTTAAGGTTAGAACTCGCTTGCAGATCTTTACAATGCACTTTTTGGTCGAATCTTGAGCTGAATTGCTATCCATTTCCTATAAAATTTGCTACTAGTAAAACTTTTTAAATATTGGGATTATTTGGAATTAATTTTAACAGTATATAGGTTATTTGAAGACTTTTTACTCTCTTTTTTTTTAGAGCGGGTTAATTTGGTAGGTTTCGAGAAACTGCAAGAATAAAAAGTACTTTAACCTGTATAAAAAATCAAAAATTTTTTATTAAATTGGCTAAGCCACAATAACGATCACCCAAAATTAGGTTTGTTCACCATGCTGGTTTTTTGGTAACTTACGCCCAATCTAAGAACTGGTACTTGCAGCTTTTGTGGCCGCTACTATTACCTACTCCTTGTCTTTACAAGGTTCGTTCTGATCCCGATACCCACTTTCAACCGGTCCTTATACCGATCTCTCCCAACTACCAAACCAGTTAGCTTGGAAGAGTTGTTATACCTAGGCTCTAAGTGCCTTCTGGTTTTACTTCCTTTGTTCCGAATTCTGTAGCATCAGACCTTTTTCTCTGGTATGACTCTGATGGCCAGGTTGGTAAACCCTTCTTGGCCCAAAGTTGTTCATCCGGTTCTTTGGTCTCCGATTCCGATTTTCCATAGTATTATCAAAGATCTTCACTACTCCTAGCTCGAGTCTTGCCAAACAGGTTTCAAATATTCCGGTTCTTTGGATTTAGATCAGCCTAAAGCTTTCATTTCAAGATGGTAGTACCAAGATTACAGGTGATATACCCAACTGATCGTCAAATAAATATTATCAAAACACAGGTCTATTTTTCAAAAAACATCTCTGGTGAGAATCAAACTCTAAATCTGCTGCTTGAAGGGTGATAACTTAACCACTACTCTATATCACCACACTCAAGTTTTACAAAAGTTTAACATCTATCAAAATAATAGATATAGAAAAATTTTATAAACTTTGAGCAAAGATAACTTGACAAATACATAACCAAATTTGATGAACTTTTTTTTTATTTTGATTTAACAGTATTGTAAATAATAATAAAAAAATCATTGAATTTGGTTAGGTAATTGCTGAGTTATCTTCACTCAAAGTTTTATAAATATTTTGTTGTAGCTATTATTTTGATAGATATTTTAAATTTTTATAAAACTTGAACAAGATAACTTGGCAACTATTTAACCAAATTCGAAAACCTTTTTCTATTTCAATTCTACAGTATTGTAAAATAAATTTTTAAAAAAAAGTTTATCAAATTTGGTCAAGTGGTTGCAGAGTTATTTTTTTATAAATTTAGATGATTTGAATTTTTCAAGACTTTGAATAAAGATATCTTAGCAACCAGCTAACTAAATTTGATAATCTTTTTTATTATGTTTCTACAGCTCTGTAAAATCAAAATAAAAAAAAATTTATTGAATTTGTTGACTGGTTGTTAAGATATCTTTGCTCAAAGTTATAAAACAATTTTAAAATTCATATCTAAAATTTGAGATGCTCATATTGATCATTGTTGTGCTAATAAAAGATAAATCACATGTTTTATTGTGCCTATAGCTTTCTCTATTTTGATAGTGATCTTGGAGTAGTTTGACCAATTGTTTAATTTCATGTGACAGATTATCTCTGTACTTTTATTAGACAGATCGGTCCTGAGTATACATACTGATGAAATTATTTTGGATTTTAGGATACGAAATTAAAATTTGAAGACAAAATTGTTTTTGATCTATTTTACTTAAAAGATGAAATTTTTTGACACTTTTTTAGAAGAGACAAAATTATAAAAAATATAACTACCTAAATTAGATTTGCTCTTGCATATAAAAAATTCTAAATTGCTTTAATGGAAACGAAATAAGGTTTTTTTGGAAACCTATTTCAGTGGCATGTATAGTTCTGAGTTACAAATTTCAAGTTTGAAAAGTTTGTACTACCACATTTGTTCACCATGCTGGAAAACAGGCACTGTTAAATGTCCGGAACTAAAAATTTATTTATTAGGGTTAAAAATAAAAACAAACAAATTAGATAAATTGATTATCATCTGATCTAAAAATAAGTGCAGATATAATTATACATAGTGTTTGTAGTCGATTTTGTATTAGTCGATTTTATCAACTTAGCCGGCTTAGTTAGCCGATTTTTCAAAATATCAGCTTAGTTGATTTTATATTAAAAATTACAGTAACCAATCAAATTAAGGCTGATTTGGTAG